TAACTTTTATTTATTGATCTCTAACTTTTACGCCTGCATCGGCGTATCAGTCAGAAGGAGAGGTTTAGATTCTTTCTTTAATTTCTTCCCCTAAGAATATTATTTTTCAGGTTCGCCTTCTTTTTCTCTAATAAAACCTGTAAGGCTGTAACAATTTCAACAGCATCTCTCATCACCTGTCTCCTCTCCAATGGGTCAACACTTTTGGGCACAATACTCAATGCAATACTTGTATGTTTCCTTACAAATTCATATATACCTAGGTTAAATAGTAGTTTCAATTTTGCAGAAACTTTGCGAAAAATTGGAAGAAAGTTTCCTAAAGGAAGTCCCATTTTCAGTTTCATCAAAGGAAAAAAGAAAGTAGTAGTGGTATAAGAAAGTATAACAAAGAATTCCCTTGACTTTATGATGCAATCTTTTCAAGTTTGCATACATCTCCACGAGCCTATCAACATCTAGCAGTCCATTTCTCTGAGTTATACTCTCTCTCACTTCACAGATTATATAGAAAACATTGAAAACAACCAAAGCTAGCTCTTTCAGTCCCCTCCAATGGCTACAGCCTGCATATACCCTTTTCTTCTCTCTCTCAGCTTCACGTTCTTCATGTTTTGTTCAGCTTCAACTGAAGCTGATACCCTTCTTAGTTTTAAGGCTTTCATTGATGACCCAAAGAACTCTCTTTCCAGTTGGTCAAATACTTCTGGTGTTCATCACTGTAACTGGACTGGTATTATTTGCATTCCTACTCCTTCACTCTATGTATCTTCCATTAACCTTCAAAGCTTGAATCTTTCTGGTGAAATATCATCTTCCATATGCGACCTACCATATTTGTCTCAACTCAACCTTGCTGATAACCTTTTTAATCAGCCTATCCCACTACACCTATCTGAGTGTAGTTCCTTGGAGACTTTGAATCTAAGTAACAACCTCATTTGGGGTACTATCCCAGATCAGATTTCTCAGTTTGATGCCTTGAAAGTTCTTGACCTGAGCAAAAATCACGTTGAAGGGAAGATTCCTGAGACTATTGGGTCATTGGTGCATCTTCAAGTGCTCAACTTGGGAAGCAACTTGCTTTCAGGTAGTGTTCCTTTGGTTTTCGGCAATTTTACTGAGCTTGTTGTACTTGATTTGTCTCAAAATGCTTACTTGGTGAGTGAGATTCCTACTGATATTGGGAAGCTTGAGAAGCTTGAGCTGCTCTTTTTGCAAAGGTCCGGTTTTCTTGGTGAAATCCCTGCATCTTTTGTTGGTTTACAAAATTTGACCAATTTGGACCTTTCTCAGAACAATCTGACTGGTAAGCTTCCCCAAACACTGGGCTTTTCTCTAAAGAAATTGGTGTCTTTCGACATCTCAGAGAACAAGCTCTTTGGGTCATTTCCAAGAAGTATTTGTGATGGGAAAGGCCTTAAATTCCTCAGTCTCCACACAAATTTATTCAGTGGTTCAATACCTAACTCCATTTCCGAGTGCTTGAATCTTGAGATCTTTCAAGTTCAAAATAATGGGTTCTCTGGTGATTTTCCTAGTGGATTATGGTCTTTACCAAAACTCATGCTCCTCAGAGCTGAAAACAATCGATTCTCTGGGGAATTGCCGGATTCAATATCAAAGGCTGCCCAGTTGGAGCAAGTTCAGATAGATAATAACAGCTTTACTGGTAAAATCCCTCAGGGCCTTGGCTTGGTAAATAGCTTATACAGATTTTCTGCTTCTCTAAACGGCTTATCTGGTGAAATTCCTCCGAACTTTTGTGACTCACCTGTTATGAGTATAATAAATCTTTCCCATAATACCCTGTCCGGTCAGATTCCAGAGTTGAAGAAATGTAGGAAACTAGTTTCCTTGTCTTTAGCGGATAACAGTCTCACTGGACAAATCCCACCCTCCCTTGCTGAATTACCAGTGCTAACTTACCTTGATCTATCTGATAACCGTCTCAGTGGTTCTATTCCACAGGGGCTCCAAAACTTGAAGCTGGCTCTCTTCAATGTATCCTTCAACCAACTCTCTGGTACGGTCCCATTATCTCTAATATCAGGTCTCCCAGCTTCATTTTTGGAAGGAAATCCTGGACTCTGCGGACCTGGATTGCCAAATTCTTGCTCTGATGAACAGGCAAAACATCACTCTTCTGGTCTGACAACCTTGACATGTGCTCTGATATCTATAGCATTTGCTATTGGAACTGTGATTGTTGCTGCTGGTGTTTTTGTGTTTCATCGATATTCCAAGAGAAAGTCTCAAATCGGTGTTTGGAGGTCGGTATTCTTCTACCCTCTTAGACTCACTGAGCATGATTTGATAATGGGAATGGACGAGAAAAGTGCTCTAGGAAGTGGTGGCCCTTTTGGCAGGGTATATAACATAAGTCTACCGAGTGGTGAACTGGTTGCTGTAAAGAAACTGGTTAATTTTGGGAGCCAATCGTCCAAAGCTTTGAAGGCTGAAGTCAAGACATTGGCCAAGATCAGACATAAGAACATTGTGAAAGTTCTGGGGTTTTGCCATTCAGATGAATCCATCTTTCTTATTTATGAATTCTTACAGAAGGGAAGTTTAGGGGATTTGATTTCAAGACCAGATTTTCAGTTGCAATGGAGTCTTCGATTGAGGATTGCCATTGGGGTTGCACAAGGATTGGCATACCTTCACAACGATTATGTTCCACATTTGCTTCACAGAAATCTCAAGTCAAAAAACATCCTTCTGGATTCGGATTATGAACCAAAGCTTACAGATTTCTCTCTTGATAGGCTAGTTGGAGAAGCTCCATTTCAGTCAACTATGGCTTCAGAATTTGCACATTCCTGCTATAATGCACCAGGTAAGGGATCCCATAGAAACTCTATATTAGAGTAATGGAATGTTCCGTGATGCATTGTTACATAAATTTATTATCTGTTGAAATTTAGTCCAAAAACAATGCTTTCATGTATCTTGATGGAATTTGATTGATGAATATTATCACATCATATTGCTAAACTGAATTTCATTCAAACTCTGTTTTGCCTCCGTCTTAAAAAAAAATCCCTTTTGCTGCATTTCTAGGATTGTAACTTTGCAAGTTCATTCTTGGGATAGAAAACATCTTTCATAGTTGATTCTAATAAAATTCAAAATTTCATATAAACAAAGAAATCTCTTTTGTTGATCTCGGAGACTTCTGAAGCCTGAAGTGCAGTCAAGGTCTTTATTTAAATTCCATTTTTGCCTATTGGTGGTATTTCTTTCCTAGGCATTAATTCAACAGAGTAGGCTTCTATTAGTATTTTTACATCATAAGGTATGTTTAATTAATCACTCCTCAGGCATCTCTAAACAATGGCCTTCTCTACATGATGTATTATTAATCAGACTGCTTTGTTTTGGTTAACTGAGGCATATGAGAAACAATTATGTGGAACAAACAATATTTTTAATCAGTTACTTGTGATTACACTTTTTATGTTCAATAAATATAAACCTGATCTTCTAAAATTTTGAGCTAAAACTCTAACTGTGTCAGTTGTTTGATTGCAGAACATGGATACAGTAAGAAAGCAACTGAACAAATGGATGTTTATAGCTTTGGTGTTGTGCTGTTAGAGCTCATAACTGGCCAACAAGCTGAGGACATTGAATCTTTGGACTCCCTTGATATTGTGAAGTGGGTTCGTAGAAAAGTTAATATTACCAATGGGGCATTGCAAGTTCTTGACCCTAAGATATCAAATTCTTCCCAAAAAGAGATGCTGGGAGCTCTTGAAATCGCCATGCGTTGCACTGCTGTTATGCCTGAAAAAAGGCCATCAATGTTTGAAGTGGTGAGAACACTTCAGTCCCTTAACTCAAGGACTTGCCTTCCAAATCTGGAGCTCTCCACTTCCGAGGATCAATCACTTCCCGTTTGAATGAATATCAAAGTAAAGATGACCTCCGTTTTGTTCATGTCTTGTATGTATTCATCTCTTTTTGACTTTTTATGGGGAAAAATGTTTGGGCCTGGTGTTCTCAATTCTGGTTCTCTACCAGAATTTGTTTGGGAATTTTATCAATAGAAATACGAGGTTTTTACAAGGTATTACTAATCACAAGTGCACATAGCATTGCAAGTATTACAGTCTCGTATACCGTTAAGTCGCTTCAAGTTTTTGCCTCTAATCAGATAATACTGTTGGTCTTCAAGTTTAAAAATTCTTGTAAAATGTTTGTTAATAGGTTTTAAGACCACATGGCTGGAAAAAAAAATTTTCGCTGAGATTTGATTGCTATTAGAGAGGATGACAGACCAGAGGGTTAAATATTTTTGTGCAGTCCAGGGTAACTGGGTATTTTAGGTTGTATAAATATTCTGAGACCATGGCCAAAGTCTTAAATCCTTGCTAAATTAGGACCGCAGGGCTGCCACTTGTCCCTAGTTAAGTTAAAAAATGGGGATAAGAAATAGGAAGAAGAAATTTTCGTTAAAAACTAACATGTACGTGTATCGAAGTTGCGTGAAATTTTATTAAAAATGAAAAAAGAAACCATATTTGGAAGCAAACTTGTCATCCATAGAGGAGAGGAGAGAGATTTTAAGTTGTAGCTTGCCAATTACACTGAAAGAAAAGAAAACAAAGGAAACTTAGTCATGAAGTTTGGGCCTCACTCTCCATAATTTACCCCGTTGATACTTGATGGTAAGTTCGACAAGCAGGTCCTGACAAGACTGGTTTCTTCTGCAACGTTCCTTGTTGCCATTTTGCTGCTTAATGCCCTGGATGAATTAATGGAAGAAGCAATTGCATTAATTCTTCCTTCTAACATGTTAGAATGAAGGCTCTGCTCTTGGTCAGGTTATCAATATTATACCACCATAAATTCACCATTAAACGACGATATTGACAGCAATTAAGAAATAATAATCTTTTAACGAGCCGAAGGAAGAGGAAAAAGAGAAAGGTAACCCCACATTGGCAATACATTTTCCAAGGTAAGAATTTGGTAAATGGCATACAAATGTAAGCATGCAACTGATTTTGTTGCAAAATGCTCTGCATGATGAGGTAAGAAGCCCAAATTTTAGTATCCTTATTTTATATACCCAACAAGGAAAGCAACCCTTCTTCTCGATTACGTGTACACACAAATTCTCAAAAGCAAAAGAAATGATTGGCCAGCTCTTACTGTTTTGAACACGTACTGCTACGTATTTTGACTTGAAATTAAAACGTATATTTTGACGAGACTACTGTGGAACCCACGCAAAACTCATGGTGGCCATATTAGCATGATTGCAGAATTTAATATATGCAACTATATATGGTTAGTAAAATCTTAAATATTTATCACTTGGGGATGAGAAATTTGCCTCTTCACTCACTAAATATGCTGTTTTCTTACTTCGCTCTCACATGTTGAAAGCAAAAGATTTCTCAGGTTGATGTTGGTGAAGCCAAATCTTGCAAAACATTCTTAGATTTTTGGGTTTTATTTGGATTTAAACTCACTTCTGTTCAGATGTTTTATCAGGTCAGTTTGAAGGACTTCCTTTGTCCAATTGATAACAAAGTTAATATATTCTTTGCTTTTATCATTGATTTCTCTTTTTCTTTTTTTTCCATTTTCATTTTCTCTAATGATTTGCTTTAATGCCTCATCTTTTCTTTTATATGTGTTCCTTGAGCTGATTTATTTCTGATAGATTGAATCTACGTTTTTTTTGTATGATTTATAGATGTAATCAGTGTTGGTGATAATTAGACGAGATTTTTCTTCATCTTCGAATGTCGAATTTGATTGAGTAATTCTATTTTTTAAATCATATCTAAATTAAAAAAATGAAAAATTGTTATTAGATATTATTCTGTTTATGCGTGTCCATAGATTTTTAGTCGAAGGATTTCACATCGATTAATTGTTTATGATAAACCTAATTAGTTTAGGGATTTTGGAGATGAAAATCATGTCAAATTGTAATTGTAATATATTTTATTTAAAAATTCAATATATAAAAATTATATTTTTTGTTGTTAAAAAACTTAAATAATAATTATATAATCACAATCTTATGAATTCATTAGACAACAATTTTCAAAAGATTTTTTCACATGTGTTCATAGTACTAATATAGATTTCAAATGCAATGTATAGATTATCACTCAATCACTAGATTTTTTTGTCGTTTATTATAAATGTAAAAAGTCATAATATGTATGCATACATATGAATCTTGTCATGACACTGTTGTATATTTATAATAATTAACATTTTATATTTTACATATTAAAAATGTGTGCTTATATAGAGATTATGAAACTACACTCTTAGAGTAAATATAGATATTCATCTGAGTGTAGTTTCATAATCTCTATATAAACAAACATGTAATATGTAAAATTACATGTGCAAAATATTAGTTATTATAAATATGCAATATATGTTTTGTTGTTAAAAAACTTAAATAATAATTATGTAATCACAATCTTATGAATTCATTAGACGACAATTTTAAAAAGATTTTTTCACATGCGTTCATAGTACTAATATAGATTTGAAATGCAATGTATAGATTATCACTCAATCACTAGATTTTTTTGTCGTTTCTTATAATGTAAAAAGTCATAATATGTATGCGTACATATGAGTCTTGTCGTGACACTGTGGTACATTTATAATAATTAACATTTTATATTTTACATATTAAAAATGTGTGTTTATATACAGATTATGAAACTACACTCTTAGAGTAAATATAGATATTCATCTACGATTGTAGTTTCATAGTCTCTATAGAAACAAATATGTAATATGTAAAATTACATGTGCAAAATATTAGTTATTATAAATATAGACATTCATCACCTATCCAACTTCCTAGGATGGTTAAGGGTTTGATCCTCTTGGGAAAATTACAGAAATTCACCTCTGATAATATTTACATTTATTACATTATTCTATTTTTCAATTTATGCAAATTTTCTCTAATTATTGATTCTCGTTTTTAGCAGGATAATTTTCTCACCTATTAACATGAGTTCACCAAACTTTGATGGGAATCCATGTCTGCCCATCAGTCCAATGTCCTCTCCTCATCCAACTCAGTTAGCTCCCCAACTTGAAGATTCTAATACAATATTCATGAATGGTACTTTGGATAACTTATTCCAAGACCATGGTCTATTCCCCATGGCACAGCCAAATTACTCCCCTGATGCTCATCAAAGCTTTGGTTTTCTTTCTAATTTCCTACAAGTGAACCAAATGGCAGCCTCATTGCCTGAGTGTCCTTTACTAAATGAAACTTCGTTGCTACTTCAAAATTCCCCTCAATTCCCTTACAATATGTCCCAAGGGATCACAAACTCTTTCATTCCCCCAACACAACCTGTGGAGCAAAATGCTAAGGAAATGATCTCTGGAAGTGATGAAGCAAGCAATAAATCTAGCACTGTCAAAAGGAAGCAAAGGAATACGTTGAAGAATAAAAAACAAACACTAGAAACAAGGTTGTAGTCTATCACTTATGCACTCTTGTTAATGATTTACATAAATTTGTGTATTTGATCATCATCTGAACAAATTCCTGTGGCAGTGTTAAGGATAACAGTAGTCAGAGCTCTGGTGGAAGTAACGAAAATACAAGTAACAAATGTAGGAAAAGACGCCAAAGAAGGCAGGAGCGGGTGTTTGGTGTGAGAAGCTCAACTTACCGGGGAGTAAGCAGGTCTGATTCTATACATCCATCTTATTTAAGTTAGTTAGACATGTAAATAATGCATACATATACAAGTAATTTATGATTGAAATCGAAAGATGACATCGAATAAGATGCAGGTACAGTGATCGATACGAGGCATTTTTGTGGGATAACAGTGATCGAAGTCAAAAACCAAAGACAGGTCACTCAAATTATCTAGCTTTCTCGTCTGTTTCGTGGTTACCATCATCTCATTGATTACTAACGCTCTGTTCTTCTTCTTCCTTGTATTCTTGCAGTTTACATAGGTGAGTGGTCATTCAATATTGCCACCTTTTAAACTAATTTGACACATCTCAAGAGAAAAAAAAGTGCTTGTTTTGGAAACAGTACTTCACATCTTGTTCAGGCTTATAAGCTTCCTACCTCCTATTTGGGAAGCACTAATTAGGGAAAAAATATTATGAGGTATGAGAGGGGAAGATATGTTGAGTTGCCTCTTTCAAAAGCATGAGGGTGCTAACATGCTTTCCTCTCAAAGCTCTTGTATTCCCTGTCAATTACAGGAATACTATGCTAGCTTGACAATAGGTCTTCTTTCCCATCGGAAAACGAAGAAGTATTGTTTTTGGAGACAAGATTTTTTAAACATCATTTGGTTTGACAGGTGGATATGATGATGAAGAGTCTGCAGCAAGGGCTTACGATATAGCTGCCCTGAAGTTATGGGGTGAATCCGCGCCACTGAATTTTCCAGTATGTTTCCTGTCACGGCATATATTTTAGTAGTTTGATCTGTTAATGCTTAATTAGCAGCTAAATTTCCTTGATGTATCTGATCTAGATGTGTAATTATGAGAAGGATTTGGAAGAGATGCAGTTTTACACAAAAAATGAATATTTTCGCAGCCTAAGGAGGTAAGCTTCAAGTTAACTAGAATTATTTCAATTCGGCATTATGTTCCTGGAAGGGAATCAATTGCTTTCTTCGTTTGCCTTATGTGCTCAATGGTCCATTAATACAAACGAATTGATTCACGTTATATTCTGGAAACTGTGACTTGAAAATCTTAATAGTTTTTGTGTTATGGCTTATAACTTCACAAATTTCAGAAAAAGTAGAGGCTTTGCAAAGGGTGCATCAATTTATCGTGGAGTCTCCAGGTAGTCTACATGTCTATCTATATATATACATCCTCCCCTCCTTTTCTCCACCTGTCCTATTCTTCTTTTTCTCCTCTCTCATGAGAAATCACTCTGCAGGAACTCAGATTTCAAGAAATGGCAAGCAAGAATTGGAAAAGGGAAAGAGATTAAAGGAATTTACCTAGGAACATTTGGTGAGTGCTAATCTTAACTTATTCATTTTTGGATCAAAATTATAGTGATTATTATAATTAAAGATAACTTGGCAATCACCCAATTGTTTATAAGTTATGTAACCAAAGGGGGGAAAACATCCATTCAAGACAATAAAACCAAAATTAATGTCGGATATAGGATTCTGAAATTGAATTACTTGTAGTGAAGTACATCAGAAATTAAACAATTGTGAAACAAAATCTAGCTAGCACATTTTTGTGAACTGTTTCAAAGAACTAAATGCTTCAACTTTCATGGTTCATATGTCTTATACTCTTTTTTCAATATTTAAACAATCAGACACTGAAGAGGAAGCAGCCAGGGCTTATGATGTTGCAGCAATTAGGCTCAAAGGTGAAAATGCTATTACCAATTTTGATATAAATGAGTATGATCTGACGAGCATTCTTCAAAGTACAAAGCTACCAATTGGGAAGGGAGCTTCTAAGTTATTGCTGCAGTCTTCGATGGATGATGTTATTCGAAAGAAAAGAAATTATACCAACGAGCAAATCACCCTAGTACATTTTGAAGAAGATGATTCAGGCAGCTCAGATCCGAACCTACTATCAATGCACCCTCCACAGTTTCAAAACCTACTAGCTCCAGAAGACCCTAACATGGAGCGTCAGCAGAATTTGCACCATTCCAACCAGCAAGACCTGAGCGAAATTCTTAACTCCTCTCTTCTCCATGGCTTACAGAACCCTGATGAGCTCCGGGTTAATTCTACTCTACTTGAAGGATTTAACTGCTTTGAAGGTGATATGAGCAATGATGAGAATCTAAGCTTTAACTTCAACGTGGAGTTTCCTAGTAATGTGGACCTAGGTGAGAAGTACAATGGTGGGTTAGAAAGGGGGATTCAAGAAATGCAGCCTTTTGAATTCCCACAGGATATAACAGCACCAGAGAACCTGCAATTTACTAACCCGGTCTTACATCAAAATCCAAGCTTCAACTTTATGCAAGGCTATGATCAAAACCTTACCTTTCCAATTCTTCAAGGCCATCAAAACCCTGTTGAGTTGCAGGAAAATCTTGCAGGGACTGGCTGGAGGAATCATTTGGAGACTGCCAGAGAGTTTAATGGTAACTATAATGGAGGAACATTTCCAAATGAAGGGATTATTGAAGGTTGTTCAGCAGTGGGATCAGCATATGATAATTTTTATACTGAATTATCAGGGGGAGTCCAACAGATGCAGCGACGTGAGAACCTTCAGAGCCTGTTAGCCCTACAGGGACAAGATTCTCATAACTTGAATCAGGGACATGAGGATGTTACCACCCAGAACCTGTATCACGAGCCTATTAATTTTCAAACAAATCCCTCATCTGACTATCTGTTTAGTGGCAACCACAATGAAGAAGTTTCATGTAACGGGATTTTCGAGGGGCTTCCAAGACTAATGGAGATTAAGAATAATTATACAGGAGGCCATGATGACAATTTCTGGGACAATAGAGCAGCTATGGTGGAAAACCCAGTCCCAGGCACTGCAGGAAATGGAGTCAACTTCTTTGAAGACACTGAAGAGGACTTTCTTTCCAGTTGCTTGCAAGCACTAAATGAACTCGGACCCTTGAGCTTCTAATTGCGGTAAGGCTTATGGTTGACAAAAAGAAAAAGACATTATCATGGCAGTGCATTACAAATTTTTCGTAAACCTAATAATGAACTTGAAATAGTTGACCCTTTTTATATTATGCATTTGCAATGCCATGTATACATTGCAGATAATTGCGTAGTTAAGCTTGAAAGAAGGAAAGAGCTTATCAACGTGATTATGCTTATTCTAATTATGATTTTATTTGAGATTATATTTGATGCAGAGTTTTTATACACGGTCAGATCATATGATAATATTATTTCATTAAAAAATAAATATAATTTTTGGAAAAATTTAAAAATAAATAGTACCAAATTTCTTTAAAAAAAAAAAAGCAATTTTTTTTCTCTCTCCCACTCCCGCTCACCCAATCTCCTCATCTTCTTCTCTCCTTTTTCATTCATTATCAACAATATTAGAAACCTAAATCTAATTGATTGTTGTTGTAATTAAACTTAAATAGAAAAGCAGTAACAGATTTTGTAAGACTTGAATAGAAAAGCTGGAACATATTCTCCAACTCCTTTTTTTCACGTTGGAAAAGATTCTGTAAGGTAAAAATAGATACAAAATGTAGTGAAACTGCTACTTTGAAGCACGATATTGTTGTTTAATCAAAAGATGAAAGAATCAACAAGAAAGATTGATGATTAATTTTCAATGAAAGGATAATTAACAACTACTAAGTGGTTAAGTTTTACTTTGACTTTGGTTCTTTTGGTGTTTTTGCTGGATAGCTGTTAATTTAGATGTAGAATTAGCAGGGTAATAGCTTTACTTTGAGTTTAATTCTTTACATTTATCTTTAAAAATGAAATTTAATTAGTTTTACCTCCCCTTTTGTTTTTGCTTTACAAAATTTGTTCTAATGTGAAAATTAAGAGTTATCAATTAAATTTTAATAGGTTGATTATGAACGTTTCATTCAAGTTTTACCAAACGTTTGAGTTTAGTTGTTGATAATGGATGAAAAAAGGGAGAAGAAGAAGAGGATATATATTGGGTAAGAGGGAGTTGAAGAGAGATAAAAAAATTATTTTTATCTTTTTGCTAAAACAATTAGTAATATTTATTTTTAAGTCCTTTCAAAAATTATATTTATTTTTAATGAAATGGTACTATTTGATAGCTTGACAGTGTATGGAAACTATATACTGTCAATGCATCAAATATAATCACAATAGTTGACTTTTTTTATATTAGGCATTTGCAACACCATATATGGCAGATAATTGTGTAATTAAGCTTGAAAGAAGGAAAGAGCTTATCAACATGATTATGCTTATTCTAATTATGATTTTGTTTATGATTTTTTTTATCTAATTACAAGATACTACATGTCTTTCGAAATTAATAAAGGGTTTATATTTGATGCAATAATGGTATATATATTCTATACACTATTAATCCACCAAATGCTACCAGTTCATTAATGAACTAAGACTAAAATTCTTTAGGGACTTAAAATACTCAAACCAAACAGAGATTAGATTTTTTTTTTTTGGACTTTTTATTTTGTAACGAACACATGTTAGCTAACCAAACTTGTTTATTTCATTAGAAAAACGAAGAATTTGATGTGATCTTAAGTGGTTGTCTTGCCTTCAAACTTTTTTTTCTTCATTGAAAAGCCTTCCTCTTTGAAAAAAATAAAAAAACTTTCAACGGCCTTTATAACTATTCATCCTTCATCGTCGAGCTGATCCCCATGGTTTTTTTTTTTAACCCTGAAATCTTTAATTATCCTATTGTTCTTAAAGTTTCACAATTTTACCAAACTTAACTTTAATGGAACAGGAAGAGGAAATGGAGTTGGAGAGAGATAAAAAAAAACAAGAAAACAAGAACAGAATACTTGTCAGGGAGTTGGAGAGAGATTTTTTTTATTTTTATGTATTTTTTAAGTAAACTTTTAATTTTTATTTCCAAGTCTCTAAAAAGTTTTACCTCATTAATGAAATGGTAATATTTGACATAAACCTTATAATTTATGAAAACATTACAGAAAAAATAGGACATTATCGATAGAAAAATCTATCGATAATAGTTAAGATTTTATCGATATGTTACATTATTGATAGAAGTTTCCATCGGTAGTTGATTGAAAATAAAGTAGTTGGTAATGGCAAATTCATCTGTGATGGATTATTCCGTTGGTAAAATATCAATCGAGTGATCCATAACACGAGCTTGACTTCGTCGATTGTTATCTCATCAGTGATGGGAAAATGTCATCGGTAATTTTTATTAGTAAAGGTATTGACCGATTAAGATCTGCTAGTAAATTTCAGTTGGTAATTTTTGTTACCAATGGAATTGCTTTGTCAATATTTACCGACAAAATCATCGGCGGACAATTGATAGAGCTAGCTTGGAAGATTATAAGCAGTATCTGTCGGCAATGGCACTAATTTGTCGGTATACTATTGGCATTTTGTATAAACTTTGTCAGTAAAGAAAGAATTCTGTCAGTGATTCCATAGGTAACTAATGAATTCCATTGTTAATAGATGAATTTCGTTGGTAATACTTGCAAAATGGGTTTTTTTTTGTTTGGGAAATAAATTTTGTTCAATTTATAATAAAATTATTATATGATACTGTTATTGATAAAGTAAATATACAGCAAACATATATATGAATATAAAAATATGAAAATGTGATACAAATCGTAATTAATAAAAAAATCTAATTTAAACATCAATTAATAATCCAATGTAAATACAAATCTTAGTGAAAGGGTGAGGCTGGGGGGTGGCTGCTGTTGCTGCTGTGGTGGACGTGACGGATCAGGCTATTGTGATGAGGAAGACCCAAAAGTTCCTAGCGAACTCCTTGCTGCAATTACCTCCATAATCAAGTTACTAAGTTTGTTCATAGATGTCATCAAGGTATTAACAATACTAACCAATTGTTGATATCTCTCGAGCTCAAGCGTACGAGGAGGAAAAGGTGCAACGTCAAGGCCACAAGTAGACTCAAATGTTGATAGGAACTAGAAGTCTCGAACTAGGGACTCTAGTGCCAAATTCGTAAATGTGGGCTCAAGTATTGTTGGGCCCTCTAATGGCCTTGATCTATGTCTGAAGATCAAACTCCAACTAGGTTAATGGTTCATTATCGCATTTCTGTGATAAAGCTGAGACATATGATTCCTATAAATAGAAAAATAATTAAAATTATTAAGTTATTTAATCAGTAAACAATATATATATATATATATAAATACGCATCATTTACATAGACAATCTTAGACCTGCTATCCACATTCTTTAGTATTCTTCTGCTGCTTGTGAGTGAGTTCGAAAAGCTCGAAGAATGTCACATTAATTTCTAAGGGAATACTTTATTGCGAACTTTTTCAAAGAAAGGAAAACAAAGAAAGATTTGTGTACACAATTAAGGGCAAAAAGGCACCACTAGAGAGCTTAGAGATAGCTGCCAAACCTATTTGAGGATGACAAATAAAAATGCAAATCCTTTACCACCAATTGGTACCTTTTTTTGCCTTGACTCTAATATCATGCCACTTGTCCAATGTATTAATCTCCCAAAAGAACAAATAGTAATGTTTTTTTTTTCTTCGGGGTTTATTTAGTAATCAGAGAATAACTTGTTGGAAGAAAATTTTTTTTGTGTAAAATATTTTATAGAAAAATTTAATTTTTTTTATTGTTTGGATAAACTATCGAAAACATTTTCTATTGTTTAGATCATCTTATAGAAAATATTTTTCATCATCATTGGTGGAGTTATTTGGGTGTTAAAATAATAAATAGGAGTTAATTATAAAACAATGATGTTATTTGGTTTTCACATTAAAATAAAGAATGGAATGAAAATGGAAAAAATCAATAATGATATTTTCCACAGCATTTAACCCCATACTATAACGAAAGGAAGCTCCAATTTTCAAACAAAAAATCCATCTGATAATACTATAAAAATACCAATATTCATCAATTGTGTAAAATATTCAAAACCTATATTTATAAATATGTATTCATTAAATGACGATCATGAAAATATTTTTTGTTATAATTATTATCAGTTTATAAGTAAAAATATTAATTGCATTGAATGATTTCATAAAAAATATTTTTTAAATTTTAATGGTATTGAATAATTTAAATTTTTATATTTTAAGTTAAAATTTTTTTAAAGTTAAATATTAATAATTTTATTTTTTTAATATTTTTAATTAAATATTAATATTTATCCAAATTATTATGCTAAACTTAATATAAAAGTAGTTTTCTATTTCTTAGGAAATGGCTTACGCTTCTTAAGGGCGTAAGACATGTACATTTACGTGATCAATAAGTATTTTCTTTGCTAACGTATTTTATATTTAAAATAAAATTTTCATCTTCCAAACAAGTATAAGTTTTACAAATGTTTTCTAAAATATCTTTTACGTCAAAGCAAACAGACCCTCACTTAATATTTAAGTGTGTTTTTTCCTTAATTTTCTTGAGTTTGGTGCTTCCTTCAAGAAAAAAAATTGATTTCTTTTCGACCATCGATCCATTTTTCTTTTCTCCTGTTTGTTTCTGCTGATACCTTTAACAATTGCTAACACAAATGAGAAGAAAACAATCCGAAAGTGGTGGTTTGAGGTTGATTTGACAAAATAAGCAACAAGGTGTTGTGAAATGTGCTCTGTTTTATCGTGAGATAGGGCCTATGTAAGGATGATGGGCCATCTATCGGGTTTACATGAGTGGTATGGATTTATTATCTACGCTAATGCAGGTGGTTTTTGTATTCCTGTACAGTCGGGGCCATGTTCCAGTTTTTATGTTATAGATTAGACTTAACAATTTGTGTATTTGTATTTTAATTGTGTAGTGTAAATTTAAGTATTAATAATTATATGAATAAATATGAATACAATATAATTAATTATATTAAAATTTTAAACACTTAAACGAATACGTTTAATAAACGTGTAACATGACATGGCTAATACGTTTATTATTGTGTCTTAGAAGTGTTTTGAACGAGTTAAGCAAATTTAACACAATTGAAATATGATTTATTCGTATCGTAATCGTGTCGATTCCATTAATGCATGAAACACAATTAACCTAAACTAAAACCCATTTAAACTCGAATCATGTTCATATCTTATTAATATGTCATGCATCAAATTATTAAGTTTATAACAAATGAAAGAGAAACATTTCTTTTGGGGGAATTTTAATATATTGGATAGGTGGCAAGATATCAGAGTTGAGGCAGGATAGGGAACACCAAATGGGGATAGAGGATTTGCATTCGACAAATAAAATCTGTAGTCGACGGTTTTATCCTACCCCAACCGAATAGAGGTAGATTCTAGGGGTGCTTCGCACCGCGCTACATATAAAAATAATAAATTTTATATTTGTAAAATGTTAATAAATTTGTTATTTAAGAGATTAACTTAATATATAATGCTATATGTAATCAAGATGTAATTCATTTACATATATAACTTTTTTTTATAAAAAATATATTAAAATATCATTAAAATAAATTTCGGATCAAATGTAAGTCATAAATATATATTTTAGATCAGGGTTGGATATTAAAAATGATAACCTTATGATAAGGTAAGGGCGATTCGAGTGGAGACATCAAGGTGTCTAGTTGAGCAAACAACCATCCCACCATGTTTATATTCCTAAGCACAACATAAGGTCAGTGTCATGAGGTTCACATTAGAAAAAGATTGGATGAGTTTAGAATTTATAAATAAATATCCTAATTCACTTAATATACATGTTTATTGAATTAAAAATGTAAATTCATAACAAGTAGTATCATAGTCTATCCAACTCTTTATTAATATAAGACTTCTCATGAGAGATATTAGAGTCGAAATAAGCTCAGATCAAGGTGGGTTTTTTCTTTTATGAGTGAAAGAGCTAGTACAATAAAGACATTGCACAATTAGATAAGAGAGAATGTTAGAAATCGCATATCAGAAAGAAATATGATAAGTATTGAGCTTATATAAGATAGGAATTGAGCTTATAAATAAGGTTTTTTTCCCTTCATAAGCATGTCTATTGGGTTTGAAATATAAGTTTTTGACACTAGGATTAAATTAATTAATATAATATTATATAATTATGCTTTCTGTAGTTTTGCAATAAATAAGTTTAAATTTATTTTAATGCAACTTCTTGTGTCCGCTGTACTAATTGTTATTTGGTTAACCATGGTTAAGATTTTGTGTCAGTAGTAGAAGCTAGTTAGAATTATTAATGGAAAAAAATCCAATAAAAATAATTGTTTGGGATTATAATTGAAAACAGAAAAAGGAAAATAGAAAGAAGGAAAGCAGAAAAAGGAGAGTTTTCCTGATTGCAAAAATGGGAGGAAAAAAAATTGACAGTACTGTATTCATCCTTCCAATGACTGGATTAAACATAGAACAATATATATTCAGACAAAAATATAAAGAGAAAAAGCTTTTTATTCTATATAACGAAATTATAATTGCAGCTTGATTTTAAGCTCTCTCTAACCTTCAGCAAAAACAAATGGTCATGTCTAATTCAGAAATAAATACATTGTCAGATTTCCTTAGAGAAGACTTAATTGCAAACTTTTTCAAACAAAGGAAAAAATATGTCTACACGCTCTTTCCATAATAAACTTGTCTATTAAGTTAGAAATATAAATTTATGACTCCATAATTAAACTAATTAATATAATATTATTTAATTATACGTTTAGTTTAATTTTTTTTTTGTTCAACAAGCTTAAATTTTACTTGAATGCAACTTACTGTGTTCATAAACTTTTTCAAAAAAAATTTTCGAAATTTAAGACGGCTTAGAAGGCCAAAAACAAAATCAAAATAGAAATAATTTTATAGCCCAATAGTAAAAGACCCATCTACCCCGTAAGACAGTTTCCTTAGCTGCAAAAAATCATTCCTTCTCTCCCACTCTGTCTCGGCTGTCCCCTTCCTCTACTCTGTCTTGACCGTCCCGTGCTCCCTCCTCTCTGTGCCGAACCAGCTAAACCTCCTCCATCCATAATTCTCACAAGTCATGATTCCAGCTAAACTGGCACAACCTCATGAGCAGGTGGATACGTACACACATATATATATTTTAAATTAAATTAAATAAATTTTAAATTTTTATACTATTATAAATAAAAAAAATTTATTTATATATTTTATATTATTTTATATTAACGCAATATAAATTATTCATTTAAATTTGACTTCAAATATAATTTTTTTTTTAAAATTTTTTTTATAAAAAGAGTATTCAAATTTAATTTTTATAAAAAATATAAATTAATTTATATACTTTAAAATTAAATAATCAAGTAAAAAAATATTTATATATATATTTTTAACATTATAAATATTTTATATTTAAATATTTAACTTATTAATAAGTATATCAATAATCTATTTAAATATTTATATTTTTTAAATATTTTTTAATTTAAACTCTCAATATTTTAATATTATTCAATTTAGACACTGTATTATATATTTTTACTCAATTTAATTTCTATGACGTGGTAAAATTTTTTTTAAAAAAAATTTTGATCTGTCATATGGTACTGACACATCAGCATGTTAATGTCATGTCAACACTGTCACATCATCATATAATGCCACATGACATGTTACGTTATCATATCAATGTCATATTATCAAAATGTGACATGTCAATATTAATGTTATTTTTTAACAATAAAATTAAATATCGTTAAAAAAATTAAATTAAAGTAATTTTTAAAATTAAAAAACTGAATTACTTTAATTTTGAGTATAGAAATTAAATTAAATAAAATTAAAAATTACAGAAACGAGAGGAATCCTTTTAACTAAAAAGTCATTCCTTTTCTTCTACTATGTCTCAGCCATCCCTTTCGGTCCCTTATCTCGACCTTGCTTGCTCTCGCCTCCTTATGCTGAACAAACTAAACCTCCTCCATCGATAATCCTCACAAGCCATGATTTCAGTTAAACTTGTACAACCACTTGAACGCTTGAGTATGGATATGTACGTATACATGCATATAATAAAGAAAATAAATTTATTTAAAAAATTTTTGAGCAAAGAAAAATGTTTAAAATTTTGAATAGTTGAAACGGGTGCAAATAATTTGGAAAAGTTAAAAGGTTAGAAAAGATAATTAACTGATGGGGGCCAAATCAAGTAGAATAGCAGTAAACTTTGGAAATTTTGAAGAAGTTAAATAAGGAAATTGGCTTTGTGATTGATATGTGAGCCCACAAGGAGGATCAAGTCTCAAAAAAATTTAAATTAGCGGGTTATTTCTTTATGGATGCCAGAATTTTCAAACTCTAATAAGCATATTAGATGATTGTTGTTTTTTAATTTAATATTTAATTATTTTACTAATTTTTTTAAATTCATCTATTGAGATGCGTGCCAATGCTCTAGTTTCAACTATAAAATGCAAAAGCTTTATCACCAATGTAAAAGATAATTTTGTTTTAAAACTAATTCGATATTTGAGACACAATTTAAAGAAGGAAATCAGTAAGAGGAGAGATTCCCTGATTGCAGAAAATGGGAGGAAAAAAATGTTGACACTTCTGTATTCATCCTTCCAATGACCGGATTAAACATTGAACAATAAATATTCAGGGAAAAAAATAAAGAGAAAAAGCTATATAATGAAATCATAATTGCAGTTGATTTTAATCAAGAAAAAGCAAAGCGACTTCTTCCAACTATACATTCAAGCCATTAGGCCATGTTTAATAATTCTAAAACTTTGAATCATCTAAACACTTCTCTCCCTTGATTTTTTTTTTCTTTGTCTTCCTCACCTACAAAACACGAGAGATATACACAAAGCAATAACTTAAACCCTCACGCAGACCACACCTCACGCAGGAGTTCATATCTTGCATTTACAGCTCCATAGCCTTCATGCTCATGTTTTCCATTTACTCTTCCGTTGCCAACCATTGTTGGAGATAATGGCAATTTGTCTATTATTGATGTAAGTGGAGAATCCAATTCCTCCAGTTCCTCATCACTGGTATATCCTTTCCTCTGTACCACTGATGCATTCCTTGACAGCTGCGACTTCCCTCCGGCCTCTGCAACTTTTTCTGCCACATCTGCTGAGGGCGGAGGAGTGTACACAACTGAGGCAGCTGCATAAGGGAAACTCCTTGCTGAATCCCCTGAAAATCTCCGCTCAACAGTACTCTAACAAATCAAAGAATCATAAATCAATCACCTGGCATCCTTTTTCTCGTTTTTACCAGTTAAGGGCAAGATTAAATCCTACAAAATATCAAACACAAATGGCATATGCAAGGCTGAGATTTATTATCTAAGACATGCAGTTGCCACCATTCTCCACCTCTAAAGTTGAATAGTTATCATCAATTTTATGGACTTCTTAGTGAGGTAACTCCAACGCCAAAAACAAGTAAGGAGTTAGTTGTGAGACGGGCCCGATAAGGACAGAATATTAGCAGTTTCAGAAACTAGCGTATCCAGTAAAGATTCTGCATTATTTATAAAAATTTCAATGGACAAATGTGTTGAACAAGAGAACCCCGAATTAGTCATACCTCAGCATTCAGGGCTTCCAATACAGCTCCTGGAACAGGATCAGGACAAAATTCATCTGGAGTGAAGTTGCAAAGAATGCGTTTAACCAAAGGAAGACCTATTGATGGGCACACCTAAAGCCATGAAAATGGAATATTCTATCAAGTTAGGAAGGAATCCATATCAAAGAGACCAGAAAAGTAATCTACTAATAGTTCAATAACATGCACAGCTTTAATTAGAAATCAACCTCATTTCTGATTGAACGGTCCATTAGCATGTCCTTTGGAAGCATTAGAAGATCACTCAGGGCATTAAGGAAAAGGAAGGATTTAGATTCTCCATCTCCATTTTGTCTGAAATCATCTTGACTATTATGCTGGTCTTCTTTTAAAGCATTATCACTATCCATGCCAAACATATCAGTCAGCCATCTTGACCAATTGCCAACCTGCATAATAAGCATCCTGCTTTATAGACATTGCATATAACTGTTTCATATAAAAACTAGGAAATGGGTTACATGGACTGGGGGAGGTACTCAAACACCCAATTATTTTATTGTCCTGTGATAGCAATCAGGGAGCAGATGCAAAACTAATCCAACAGCCGGTATTGCTCCACATAGAATCACATAACATGATAACAGCATCATATATATAGCATAAATTGAGGACTTCATATAAAGAATGTGAAAAGTCACGTCATAATATGCTAACTCAGCATCTTAGATCATTCCATTGGCAAAATATTTCTTGGTATACATAAAATGCCCTTTTATTCATTTACTCCGCCGCTTAGATCTTTCCATTGGTAATGCATTTTCCATATGTTATCCTGTTTAAGTTAAACTAGCTAAATACCTACCTAAACAACTACTATTTGTCACCAATAGCAGTATATCAGAGGACAAGCCACCAACTCTATGATGGCAATTTCTGAGAGCGGCAATGTTCCAATGAAACACGAAACCACAAAATCGACTTAATATAACAACTGCAGAAATGATTGAGATTCACAACAACTGTCTCTCGGGACATATGAAGATTAGTGAAAATACTAGCCCCCAACTGGATATACTACAGAAAACAAGAAAAATATTTAGTGACATAATACTTACAGAATTTTTCAGCTGTGCACCAGATCCAAAGCTAAGATCTCCAGCTGGAATAGGCAGAACCTTTGAATCTACAATAGGATCAGATACAGGATCTGTTGGGATCTCATGGGCAGACTCTCTCAGAATAGCATTGAACATTGCGACATCTAGCCTTGCAATACACTGTTCCATAACCTAATATAAGAGGATACATCAATTAGCTCGCCAGAAGAAAGGGAAGAAAACAAAGCTAAGATAAATCAGACGACTGCTTAAAATTTACAGAGGCCAAATAGATATCAATACGAACCATTCTTGCAATGACTGGCAAGCAACCACACTCATGTCCTTCTGCTCTAACAGGACAAAGTCGTTGAAAAGCATCTTGAAAAGCGTTTTTCCAAAGGTTGATAGAAAAATTTCCTTGCTGTTGGTCACCCAAGGCTGGCCCCAATAAATTTCCAACCGTTCTGTTGGCAGATGAACCCTCATGAGGAGCTTGCATATACGGAGTAAGAGCCTGAAATGAGGAACACACATGAGATTCCTTCTCTCTTATTTGTAATTTAGAGATCATAAACTGAAATGTATCAATTAGATCACAATCATGTTTTAAATAACACTGACCCTTTATTAATAAAAATTTGACAAGTGCAACTATTTACCTGCCACCATACTGACTCGACTATTCGAGAAAATATCCAAGATTCCACTTTTTCCAGTGCAGATGTGAAGGTTCCTGTCTCTTGCCAATCATCAACAAGCTGCACAAAACCATTTACATGTTTACTACCAGCACCACCTTTCCATTTTAGAGTTGGAGGCTTTACTTCACTCCGTTTGTTACTGCCGTTTGACTCAGGAAGCCGTGTAGGTGGACTTGAGTTGCGTGAGTTGCCAAATGCCAGAGAAACGATCTCCCTCAGAACTACGGTGTTTGATAACCAGAAGGTTAACCTTGAAAAAAAAAAAGCAAAACATCATTCAGCCATCAACGGTAAATGGAAACATTCTGAAGCACTCTCCAAATTATATCTCATTACAATCTACATACCTCGAAACATCATTACCACAAGATTTAGCAATCAAAATAAGCCCAGACACTGAGTTTTTAGCAATTGTGGCTCGCTTGTTTTGGGTCCAATGCTTGCAAGCATGTATGTAGAGTCTAGAAAGGCGTCGAGCAGGTGTGTGCACTTTATGTGCTGAGCTCCCATGCTCTGGTACAACAGAGTAAAGAGAAATTTCCAGGGCAGCCACTTCTCTCAGCTCTGCTTCAAGTTTCTCAATTCTTGTCTCCATCTCTTCTATCTTTTCATTTAAAGCTGACTCATCTTCAACTTGAAATTTGTCTTCAGCATCAACTGGTTCACTTTCACTTCCAAAACTTTGAGTGCCTTTTGATGTCTCATCCAAAACATCAATTTCTTTTACCTCTTCAGTCTGCTTGTCATTAGATACTTCTGAAGACTCTGATGAAGGCTTAGGAGAAACTTTCAAGGCATTGGAATTTTTTTCTAAAGAACTCTTGACAGCATCCTTAGTAGGCCCTCCATTAGATTTTTCAGATTTCTTACAAGTATTATTCAATGCCTTTGAGCATAGTTTATTAGTTTCAGGCTCAGATTCCATTCTGGATCCACGGGAAGAGCTATCTGAGAGGTTGCCATTGAAGACAACTTTTGGAACCCCGGAAACACTCTCTCCTTTCTCATCCTCAGCTGTCAAGGGATCTCCTTGAGATGATACTGAATCTTTTATTGTCTCAGAATCTGATTCTCCTTCCTTTCCCTGACTTGTTTCTCCGTCCACATCACTGGAGCGATCATCTAAAATCTCATCCTTTTTTACTTTATTGGTCATTGCATTAGCTTTTGAATATTGAGATATTTCTTCAGACCTGTTAACATCATCCACATAATGTATAACCACATTTTCATAAACTTCAGAGGGCTCAGAGCCCGCATTTGAATCACTTACTAAGGAACTATTGTCTGGTCTAGCTTTCAAAGCTTTGGATTCAGTTTCTTTCGCATTCAAAGTTTTGCCACCAGTCTCTTGATGTGGTTTATTATTTTTCCTTACAGTTCTTCCAGAGTGCTTTGATTGGACATTAGCCGAATTTCTTCTCTTGCCAGTCTCTTTCATACTTAAGTTGATTCACTTTTTAACTACAAGTAATGAAGAAGCTGTGATGAGGGAGAGACTAGTAACTGATATTCCTGTCAAAGCTTGTTAGTTGAATGCTAACACTGGATGCAAAAACACATGTAGTTGCACATACTTATCATTAGGTGACCTACTCCTCACTTGACAGCAGAATGATCTTCTCCTGGCCCTTTACTCAGTCGAGTGTATCTGCATAAGAGAGAAGCCAGGATCATCAAATATAGACTTATCTGTCACTTGATATTAGCTAAAATCAGCTGCACTTTCCCAAACAGAAACATATAATTGCTTTACTTAATCATGGTAGTGGACACCAAAAATTGGCAGACTGCTCAAGACCATAGAGAAAGCCACAGACAATAATATTATGAAACTAAGAATATTAATTCAACATATCCTCACAGACACAGCCCTGCATCCAATTTGAGCTTTAGGCTTTGAAAGCACAGGAAGAAAGAGCAGGGCGAAAATGGACCATGCAAAAGAAAGAAAACCAAATAACAAAGGGCAGAAGCATGCAAATCATTCAGCCATATAGGTTTATAGGTTCTGTAAAGTAAAAATTAACAGAGTGAGATTCAAATTGCCACAAGGATTTGAAAATGCTCGAACCTAAATCAAAGACAAAAACGACTAGCAATTACACGCTTCTTGTCAACCTTGTAACATCAGAAGCGCAAACAGTAGCAATAAAGAAACTCGTATGCCGCTGGACTAAATTTATCTTCCTAAAATCACAATTAAATCTATGTTATAGCATCAGGGTACAACCAGCCAAATTTTGGGCAAAAGAATTTACGACTAACCTCAAGGGTAACAACCAGTAAAATTGAAGTTACATTGTGTCAACCTCAACAAAGGAAAATGGTACACATCTCCATTTTGAAACCTTTAAGACCATCCAGCATGTGCTGTTTGCAACTAATATCAATGATGAAAATTTACAACTTCAAAATAAATGGTTAAATTCACCATTCAATAACTTTTGGTGAAAATAAGGAGTACACAACAGTGGTCCTTAACGTGAAGTATTAAAACAATTCTGAAAGTAATATGCCCTGCACTGTGGGCCGTGGCCCTCAAAAATGCCTAAATCAGAACAAATTATGCATTTTCCAATTCCTCTTTACTGTGATACTCATATTCTATTTGCATTTATCCAACATTTCTTGATCCTAGCATAAGCAGCGTCGATTTGCATATCTATCCCGAAATTTAAATCAAAGAAGAAAAAAACCAAGATAAAAGACATCTGATATCTTGCGATGGATTTCTACCAGCACAACAAAGTTAAACACTGTCATCAAAATCACGGTTAGAAATGACCCAGAAGAAATTCAGAAAGGTTAATGAAGCATTTTTCAAAAGAAATTTCCTTGGTATATAGCATTATCAACCAAGAATATATCCCCTACAAAAAGAATAAAAAAAAAGACAGTTTTGCAGATGACACTGGACAAACAAACAAACTAAGCAGTAAGTTAACGCAGCAAAGCAACTGAGCTAACTTTACTCTTAATCACAATCTCTCTTTTCTGACCCATGGCCGAGGCTTTCAAGTTTTCACCATTGAAAAGGACATAGTGTTTTTTTTCTTTATTGCTTCAAGTCCAAAGCGTCCATTTTCATGATTAAAACGATATAAATTTTCTCCTACTCTCATAGATCTTAATCAAAAACGAATATAGAACTCAGACCACACGAAAGTTCATCGAAATTCAGCTCCTCACACTTTTTTTTTTCTTTTTGATAATTCTAAAGGTATTAAAAACGCAGCCTCCATTAGAAAAGCTTCAAGAACTGGCAACTGAATTAGATTCAAGCACCTCAAATAAACAAATACTAAGAAAATAATGGAGCTGAAACAGAGCAACAAAAGACGAGATCAAAGAATTCAGACCATTTTTCGATGCAAAGAAAACAAGAGAAAATGCCGGTTCGAACTCTTGGTGTTGTCAATTTTCTCAGCTACTAACAGAAAAAAGACGAAGAAGAAGAAGAAGAAGAAATGACAAAAACGACAAAGAAAAAATGGAGCAAAAAGGCCAACAGAAAAAGCTGTAATGCAGAAACGCAACGAGAAAGACTATCAAAAGCAAAGGAAAAATAACAGTAAAAAGAAGTTACCAAATCCAAAGCTTTGTCTTGGATTCTTCGAAGACGGAGTGAAAAGTAAGTTTCTGACACACAACCAGTCTATCCAGTGGGGATTTTAACCTTCCCAAATTTCCAGGCTTCGAGTCTCGTGCAAATGAAAGGAACAAATTTTTATCTCTGTGGCGCTGAGTCTGAGTGGAGTCCGAAGTGCGGGAAGAAGGGGGACGCATTTAAAAACGGTGGACGTGAGGGTCCGCCCTGTACGGGGGAAAAAAATTAAAAGAGGTGACGGGGTTGTCGGTGGGGTGAGAGTAACCGGGAACCGCCGGTTTACGGTTTATGAGGCAGTCATAGCCACTTGGGCTTTTTTAATAAGATTTATTGGTATTACCTAAACCGCGTCATTACTATCCTGTGTTGGGTCAATTTTACCCCATTTTGTATAAAATATTCGATTTTTACATTACCATATGACGGAATTTATAGAAATAAAAACCGTTTGGAAGGTTAGATTGGATTGAAGGGACGATCTATCTGCCGCTCCTCGGGACCTAATCGAGATGTAAATGTACCACCTATTTCGTACGGCCACAACCGTCATGAGATATTTTTCTCAAATTTAAGATAATTAAAATCAAGAGTTTAGTGTAACTTTCACTTTATTTTATTATTACGAATAAGACCTTTTTAAATAACCAAAAAAAAGACTGATTAAAGAGTATTTTAATTCGTCAGTTTTGAGGTAATTAAATTAAAGGGTTAAGAGTACATGTAATCTTGCATTAATCTCATTTTCAAACATGATGCATTATTGACGAGACAATTTAAAAAAACAAAAAAGAAAAAGAATCCAAAGTTTTCTCTCCCCTAGTGGCTGAATAATTACCACAAAGTCATAGTAGTTAGTAAATGATGGGTTTGTGACGACCTAGATCCGATGTCCTACCCTGTCTATGCATGTATTTTCCAAAAACATAGTGTTTAAATCCTAGGATGATATTCCCATAAATATAGGAAGGAAACAACTCATCCAATTTTATAATCGAATTGTAAATAATTTTCTAGTCAATAAATTGTTTGGAATCTTCTTTCTCGGTTTCTCATCCATCACCCCCACTTGTTTTAATGAAGAGGCATGCCAGTATACCACATGCAAGAAATCAATAGTTTGTTTTCCACTTTGGGCTTTACCCTTTTTATTAAAAGAACCCCCCGAATGCTGGCCAGTGATTAACTACATGTCCCAAGAGTCAAAAACAAATCTTTAATACAACATTGCCTGCTTTGAATTTCATCCCAAATTCTGCCAACTTTTAAATGCAAGTTTCTGAATGAAGTCATGGTTATGTTACTAGCAGTAAAGTAAACACTTATGGTGGGAGTATATTTCATTTCTCTATCTATTTTAATACAAAGTTGAGATAGGTTGACTGGTCCCCGAGCAGGTGAATGTAAGATCAGAATACAAGAGATGTCACAATATTATTCATGTGAATTTCTTGATTTTCGTAGGTTTCAAGGCATTCATATCCACATTAATTATTCCTCCACATATATGGACTTTGGTAATTTTTTGAGCCCTAATTTTGGCCAACCACTTTGCATTCACATCCATCCAAGCATGTGATTTGTTATTTTAGACAAAACTAATTTTTATTTAAGAATACTGTATTATTAAATGTTTTACTTTATAAGGTTGTTCTTTTTTTTTCTATTGAGCAAGTGAGATTTGAATTCAATTGTTGGAATAGGTGTGGACAATAATCATTAATTGAAATACACAGCATATTTTTGTAAAAAATTTATACTCCGAGATTGAAAACTGAACATCAAAACAAATACAAAATGACATGACAATAATACACAATCGTAACAATCGAGTATGAAACCACAATCACAAGACAATTTTAATTATGACATTATATAAATGATTGCATCATTAATATGATACTAAGTAATTAAGTTACAATTAAATAACTAATTAACAATATTAGTTATTAATTTATATAATTAAATTGAAATTTTATTATTACATTTCATAGTTTTGATTTATATACTTAAATTAATAATTTATTAAGTAATTAATATAATTACTTAGCGATTATGTCATAATTTAAGTAATCACTAAATAAATTATCTAAGTATTTAATTAATTAATTACTTAACAATATTAATTATGACTTTATGTAAATAAGTATGTCATTAACATAGTACAAAGTAATTAAGTTACAATTATCAAAATTAATTATTAATTTGTATTATTAAATTTAAAATTTTGATTACATTTCATAGTTTTAATTTATATAAGTACATTAATAATTTATAAAATATTTTTCTTCTAGTAAACTTCTTCTGCAATTTTTTTTAGATAAAAAATTTCAATTATAAAAAAAAATTGAAAAATAAACCATGACTTCTCTAATGAAGAAGAAAGAAAGAAAAAAGACAACAAAAATTGAAGAGAAGAATTTAATATAAAGAGGGATAAGGCATAAGTTTCAAAAGCATTCGATATTAACAATACACTATATAATTTTTTTACAATTTTGTAAGTGTGTATTTCTATTAATTTTTTTTTAATGTAAAAAGATTGTCGTCATATGATATGATAACTTACAATGGCAGTCGGCTGCTCTATTTTTGGTTTGTGTTTGAAAAAAACTATTTGTTTGTCCAAATGCTGACGAAACAAAGTCTAAACTGTTACGGGGCCTAATCGACTCTTTATAAAAGTAAGTGAAGACGTATGAAGCTTCAATTGCCAGAGAGATTTGAACTGGATGCAAGTTTTCTTCTTTATTTTTTGTCATTTTCTCTTTTCCTTGTGTATATTTGATACATTTCTATTTTTTGTGGCAATTATAATTAAATTTTAATTTAAAAATATTTTAATAATATACTTAATTTAACTAGGTCAAAATTTTAAAATTGTCGATTGAATCTTTTCCAACTGGAGACATAAATACTCTTAAAACTGAACAGATATGATCCTTTTACATTTTAAGTTGATAAGCATTGTCCTAGTTTACCTGACTTGCTCAAAGAAAATTTTCAGGTAATCTTTACTTCAATCTTGGAATTCCCCTTTTACACAACTCGTAAATCAATAAATGGGGTTTGCATAAAGAGATGTAATCTTTGTTAGAACTCAAAAAGCTAGCTATATTGAGATCAAAATTAATTACAAAATGAATCGGCCAACCATAATGAAAAGAAAAAGATTCCTACCATTTTCTGTCTGTAAAATAAAGTGAAATTGGATGAATTTGGTCCAGCTTGTGCTCGGTTAAGGTCAAAGTAGAACCCCACATGGGCCAATCTACAATAATATGAAGAAGAATCAAGAGTCAGTGGAGGTGATGGAAACTTGGATTGTGGGATGGCACAGCTTAGCCACATGAGAGTTGATTCAGTATTTTTTATGCCCACCACCGACATTGACATTTTCCTCTCCTGAATTGACTGACTCGTCAGGAGGCTCTCAAGTCTTGTCTTTGATCCACAGTACTTTCACTTTTTAATTTTTAATTATAATTATATATAAATTAATTAATTTTAAAAATAAATAATTTATATTGTTAATAAAAATATTAAAAATAAAAATATTATTTTTTATTAATTTAAAACATTATTGAAAGAAGAGGACATCGACTTGTGTTTTTTTTTTAAATTAATAAAAAATTAATAATAATAAATTTTAAAATTAATAAAAAATAAAATTATTTTTTAATATTTTTATGTCATTAAATTAATGAATTTATATGTTCAGTAAAATATATATTCTTAAAATGAAGCATTCATTTTAAAAATTAAATGAATCAATTTAAAATTTTAATTAAAATTTAAAGAGATGAGATATTTTATCCAAAGAATATATGCTTTTTCCTTTTTTATTTTTAAAATTTGGTATTGGGTTTTTGGGTTTAGGAGAGAGTACATTTTGTGAGAAATGTGAGATGGTTGATGATGTGTGTCCCATAAAAATTAAAATGATTTTGATTTTAAATGAATGAAATGATGAAACTGTTTTACAAATTCCTTTTAACGCTTCTCTCAAGAATTGAAAATAAAATTATATACTTAATTAATATAAATGTTATACAATGAATAATTAAGTACGTTAATTTAATGGAACCAGCGATAGATAATTCCTAGTTGTTGTCGGTTGTGTACTAGGCCCTGGTCAGTGCCAAGTGGATGTGGATCCTGCAAAAGATTTTTCTCCTAATTAATTTATTCCTTTATTAATTGTCATTTAAAATATTGCTGCTGCTGCATGTCCCAATGTTAGCATCACTGACCTCTCTTCCATGCCTGTCGGTCTTTCATGCCCCAAACGTTTTTATCAAAAAGATGCAATCAATTTGAATAATCTTACTATTTCTTTTCTCAAATTTTTAATACCAATAAAGTTAGAATTAGAGATGACATTGTGTATTATTTTGCCTACCACTGGACTCTATCCTACTTCCATCACTTAGCTGAATAATTTGAGTTCCAAGTAGGTTCAACAATTTTAATATGTTCTTTAATTTAATTTTAATATTCTTTGTCATTTTTCTACTATTTAAATTCAAAATTAGTGGCTAAAATTTCATAAATTATTTTACTTTACTTTCTTGATTTGATTGTAATTGATAAAATACATAAAAATAGACCTACATTTTAAATATTTTATTTTTTAAAACTTTTCCAAGCAATGGAAAACAATATTACATTGATTTTTAATGAAAATGTAATTATTTCTCTTGGTCGTATTATATTATAATTATAATATAGTGTTACACTAAATTAATTTTTTTCTCTCATCAAACATTATAAAGTAACTTTACCCTTCACATTATAGATTATTTCCCCGGTACAAAATATCCTTTGAGAGTTTATCATCAAGAATTATGTTTGGTCTTCCCGGTGACACGACATGCTTTGGAACACGTTTTTGATCTAATAATAGCAAATTGAAAATGGACATAAAGCCACAAAGACATGTCTTGTAAATCAAATTGTAGCACCGACATTCAAATATTGCATGCGACCCAAAGGTCAATTTGCATTGAACCCCTATTCCTCTTGATAAAAAGCATGCAATCTTGAAAAGAATTTTAAAGTTTTATGTATAATCACATTTAACAAATGGTTTAGGGGCAAAGGGTACATGACAAGTTTAAAACTTTAAAAGATGAAAAAGATTCTATTGGTCCACCCCTTGTACACACATGACATCAAATTATTATGACATCCTTAATCAACATTATATCATTATTACTACTATTATATAAACCAAGTGGCATATTTAAAAAGCGAGATGTTGGACTTAACTAGTCCAATGCTTGGATCTAGCTAATCCAATGACAATTAGACGGTGGAAGATCCCACCGGCGCAATTATAACCCTTTTTTAATACTCAACTATGATTAAAAACCCATTATCTCTATCCAAAACAGAAAAATTTTCTTTATGCTTTGGAATTGTGATGGCATGGAGGAATTTCGTGGATCGACCAATTTTTGGGCTTGGTAAACAGCACTTGCCCATTCTGGGATCACTCAATTAATTATACTTGTATTTACATAATGGACTTACTACGAAGAGTTGGAAATTGAAAATTGCGTTGTTTTATCAGTATATCCTTAACTTAAGATAAAAAAGAGTTTATTAAAAAAATGGTGAATAATCTTGTAAATGTGTAACATTTGGATTCACATTTTCTCTCTAACCTTTCTCATCTTTTTTTTCTCTCTTGTTAAGCACCTAGATAAATAATTTTCTTTCTATTTTTTTCACCCCACCCCTCCCATCATTTTGGATTGTTTTTCTTCTTCCTCTTCACCTCGTCGCTTACTAGTTCTATGAACTTTCCTTCTAATGGTAAACACGTTTAGCTATGATAGTCAGGCCTTATGTCACGGACCGCAGTTCCACGCCTTAGAGGTGGCCCGAGGGTGTCCCAAGGTGCCGATATGTGGGGGAAGTATTGCTGGGAGCAAACCCTCACTTGATAGCGGAAGGCAAGTGCAACGTGCCAGCTGGGGTGCATGGCACAGGCCCCCGGGCGAGCCAGCTCGGCAGGGAGCCAACAAGGGCGCACATCACAGGCCCTTGGGCTAGCCGTCCCGACGGAATGCCAGGAGGGGCAAACGGCACAGGCCCTTGGGCGAGCTAGCTCGACAGGATGCTAGCAAGGGCGCACGGCTCGGGCCCATGAGCGAGCCAGCCCGACCGAAGGCTAGCAGGGGCGCAAGGCGCAGGACCCTGGGCGAGCCAGCCCGACGGGATGCTGGTAAGGGTGCACAGCAACGGCTCCTAAGCGAGCCAGCTCGACAGAACAGGCAGAATGCGTGCAAGGGTGCCAACCCGCACAGCAGGCGTGCACAGCACGAGGGGGCGCACAGAATGTGCGCGCGGCACGCAGGCCCGCGACCGCCGACCCAGCAGGAGGGTTGTGGCATGCAGGGACGCAGAACATGGGTGCTCGGTACGCAGGCCCAGGGCTCCGGCCAGCAAGGGTGCGCGGCACGAAGGTCCGCACACCATGGGCGAGCGGCACGCAGGCCCGAGACCATCGACCCGACAGGAGTGCGGGACACGAAGGCGCGCGGCACGCCAGTACGCGGCACGCAGATGCGCGGCACGCGAGATGGCTCGGCAAAGGCGCAGCACGCAGGTCTGCACAGCGCCCAGACAGACTGCCTACGCGGGGCCTCTGCGCACCAGCCCGCCAGCCGCCCAGGCACACAGCTTGTGCGCGGCCCAGTCACACCAGGGGGGCCCAGCGGGGGTGCGGCCCACCAGACCCATGTGAGGGGCTGCCGGATTTCCCTCCCAAGGGAGCTTCTAGAAACTTTAGTTTCCCTCCCAAATGGGTTTTGGAGGGAAAACTTTCGGAGGGAAATCCTTTGGAGAGAAAGTTTTGGAGGGAAATGGGTGGGGAACCTTGGCAATAAATAACCCCATCCTCCTTAGTGTAAATCATCCATTGGAATCCATTGTATCCAACACACTTGTATCTCAATTCATTCAATACAAGCTTAGTTTTTCTCTCTAGCATTCTCTTCCTATTTTTCCTTCCTCGTTTATGCAAGCTTGCTTGCCGGCTTAAAGCCATTGTGTGGGTGTTGAGTGCTTGTTGGGCGAGTGCTGAAGCACTAAGGCTGACTTGGGTTCTAAGTGCCGAGATAAGGATTGAACCCAAGGCCGCACGGAAGGTGATTTTAAGTATCGCCCCGTGACACTTACACGAAGAAGTTCAATCATTGTGCCAAAGCTAGCTACAAGAGCTATAGAGTGCTAAGATTCGAACTTCACGTGCACAATGCTCAATGGTTTGATTCGTTATAATAGGTCTCAATTTACTTTGCTAATGAAGTGACACCAATCACACTTCTAGTCTTGCTTCAGAGTTACAAATACAAAAGTTATGGTAGAAAGACATAGGTAAGTTGCCACTATGTCTTTGCCAGATCACATCACTCAATAAAATTCGCAAGAGAGAAGGCAATCCAAACAAAAGAAATCTTACACTTTTTCCTACATTCCTCTCCTTCCACTCTTAGTTTCTCTTGAATTCCTTAACTTACGCTGAGTCCAATTTTACATTAAAACATCACACAATATGACAAAAACGGAAGTTTTCTATCAAATTAACAAAATAATGGAAACGTTGTAGTATGATAGTTCAGCACCAAAACAAACGACAATATAACACGCCAACTACAACTAATAATGAGGTTACTTTATCAGCAGCATTTGCCTTCCACAATCCCAAACTTCCCATAAACATTATTATACTCACTGCATGTATGATCTATAGGTGCAGAACAACATCCAAAATGCAGGAAGATTCTTTGAAATAAACGTAACTTTTCGAAAAGCCTCACGGAGGACAGCAGACTGTCTAGAAATTTGCATCATCCACAGCGGAAGAAATGTAGGATATACAGGACTGTATGAATGCATCCATGAACAAAGAGAAATGAGATGGGTAGGCCCATTTTCCTTATTTTGTGGGGGAAAAAGAAAGACAGGGGCAGGAGACGGGTAGCGAGGAAGATGGAGATGGTCAATCTAACAGATGGACAGAGGGGTAGAGTTCTCAACTAGTATTGACTTTCCTGCAATAAAATAACTGTTAAGGCACAAATGTTTGGTTGATGTTGCAAACAACATAAACAAGGATAATACTTTTGCTGAGAATTCATAAATCAAAAACATGCCTTAATGATCTTAAGCAAGGACAACTACAGTAAGAACTGGTATCAACAACAGTAAGTAAAAGCTAAGCTATGTGATTAACTATTAAGAAAATACCATGATTGCAGGACCATATGATAAATTGGCAAAAACAGGTATTTATGATGTGCTACTTGATATTTCCCATCACCAATGCCACATCCTTGATCAGAACTCTGTAAATTATAATCCTCTCCACTGTAACAGACTTGAAACTGTACTAGTTAAATCTGTAAGTTTCTAAAACCAGAAGGGCAAATGAAAAAAGGTTTTTTTAACAAAAAAAAACCCAGCTGGCAACTGTGGCTATAAGATGAAACTTAACCACACTAGCAAGGTTTATTTGAAAAAATTCCGTAGATCATGCTCAAGCTTACTATGATACAACAACTCAACATTCCCTGTTCCCTTATCCTCAACCACAACTCTATCAAGTAAAATAGCATTTCCTCTGGAACGGACTTCCAACCATGCTGTTGACTATCAAATCTCAGACACTAATGCATGTACTTTTACAATCAGATGGTAAACGATAAAATGTTTTAGCCTAGAAGATGAATCTTGACCAAATGAAACGGTCCATTGGCAAAGATGAGACTGCAGTTCAAAGTGTCACAGCTTTTTCTTACTGAACAAATGGTGTCAAGATGATAAGCCTGTTGGAAAGAAAAAAAAAAACTGGCAAGAAAAGGTTGTATTCAAGAAATAGTAGTTGACTAATAACATTCCGGCTCTCATATTCTTAATCACAAGTTTATCAAATAATATCATACAGTCCTTCTGCAACTAAATTGCAGTCATGATAATAACTACTAAATGCTCAACACTGATGCATAGGCCTTTATATAAAACAACACTAAAATGATCATTCTTTTTTCCCTTCTTTCTGACATAAAATTCATTCATAAAAACCACAGAAAAACAATTTACATACTGTCTCAATCTGCCAAACAGAAACATCTTAACATACGCCATCCCACAGTAGCAAGTTATCAGCTCATAACCCCTTTCTTTCCTATACTATCCTTCTGTAAAGGTTACCATCCTCAATCTCTCATGGAGTCCACATAATCGTTTTCTCCACAGGCTAACACTAGTCAAATGTGGATTATTCATCCTCTAAAAACCTCCTTAAGCGCTGATATTTTCCTAGAACCTACCAAAAGAACTACTAACAAAAACACTAAAATAATTACATATTTTTCTAAGCTACTCCATACAAGGATACTCATAAGGGCATTGGCATATTAATACAGGGCCAATTACCCTCAATCCATTTTCAAGTTCTTTTAAACATAATACAATTGGCTAAGCAAACTAAACTATAAACACATTAAAAACTCAATAAGTAAATATTAGATTGTGATCCCAAATAAGCCAATGACTTCATCATCATCATCGAAAGCGTAAATCCAATACAAAACCCATAAAAATTTAACAACTACAAATTCTTTTTATTTGAACTACATATTTTATCAACAACACAGAATCAAAAAAGTTCCCACAGATCCGTACCCAACAGACCCAGATGAAGTTTGGGCACCAAAATCTCAGTCAGAAGAAGAAGACGATTCGGCGGCGAGTTTTTCGAGGGCTTTTTGGTGGGCCCAGGTCTCGATAGTAAGATCCGGTTTGGCGTTGAGGCCCACGCCAAGGATGACGATGGTGAGGAAGCTCGTGATGTAGCAAGGTAACTCCCAATCTTCCCATTTGCGAGATTGGCCTGAAGGTGGTGGTGTCCTGTTCAAGAGGTAACCATTGGGTCGCTCCTGGTGGCCAGGCGTCGTCCAGCGGCTTGGACCGGCATGGCTCGAGAAGGACCGGGATAAGAGGCGTTGGCGGAGCATGGTGGTCAATGCCATCGTGGTGGTGGCTGAAGCCTGAAAGGGTGAGGGGAGGGTATTTGGGGACTCGAAGCTGTTTGGGGGGCTTGTTTGGCCAGTAGAAGAAGTTCTTCACACAGCGGAATTGCCCTTGCACGACGTCGTTTCGTTTGGGCATTTTTAACTTTTCCACGGCAGCGTTCTCTGGTGGCAATTGGGCTTGTTTGGTCGGGTTTCAGGTAGTTACAAATTTGGGCCTTTTCAGTTGCAAGTTACTTGTCTTTGCAACCTTGGTTGGTTCATTAACTTTTTTTTAAAAAAAAATTTGAATTGAATCAAGTGCTTTTTGTAAAATGAATTTATAAATTATTCAATACTACTAGCATTAATAAAAAAAATTTTACTAAAATTCATTCAATACAATTAAAATTCTTATTTCAAATTGGATAAACCTTATTAGAATTTATAAAAGAAAGTCATTCAATGCAATTAAAATAATTTTTATATGCTTACAAATTAGATAAATTTTACTAATATTAACACTAAAAAAATATTTAGTAACTTAGAAATATTATGAAATATTATCGCGCTACTTATTTATATCAGTATAATAATCAAATTTATACGAATTAGTTGTTAGATTACAAATTTATTTTAATAAAAGGTTTTTTATAATTATTGTTATTTTTAATTACATATTACTAGAAATCAAGCTAAAAGAAAATATATACAATGAATGCAAATGTCTAAAAGAAAAAAAAAACATAGATTAAACGCTACTCTTGCTGAAATATATTGCGTATAGCATGAAACTAAATAATCTTTAATTTAACTTAATTATTAATTAATGCAAGTAATTATCTATTTACATTAAAAATGATATATATATTATTTTTATTATTAAAAGAATGAAATTTTAATGTAAAAATTACAATATTTACAGCAAAGAGTTTGGTCTTAAAGGTAGGAAGTAGCAGACGAGGACAGCTCTAGTGAACTATGAATTGGCCCAAAGCGTTTTCCCTGCTCTAAACCTACCAAAGCTTTGGTCTTCACCTCACCAGTAGTCTCCACAGGAACAAACTCCCCTATGTATATGGTGGAACCGGTTCTTATCCCTCAAAGACACTTGTCTCGTATAAATCTTTGAAACAAACTTGGCAAAATTATGGCAATCAACACAAATCCGGAGGTTTTTAATCACTCGGAGTGGGACTCCATAAGAGGTAGCCATCAGCCCAAATGTCAAAGCCAATTTCTCACTGTGGCCTAGGAGTATCTTCTCCTTCTGCTCTTCGTCCACATCATGTAGAACACAACTCAAATCAGGAACATAGCCAACTTCCTTCAATTTTATTGATAACTCTTTCACTTTTACAAGCACCTCTTCCCTTCTTGGATGGGAACGATCACTTGCATGGAAAGAATGAAGGGTTTGGTCAAGCTCAATCCAGCTTCTTCCGGGATCCTTTTTCACAGCTTTCTCCATCATCAAATCCCTCACCATTCTTACATCTTCCCATCTCCCTGCAGAGGCATATAAGTTAGAAAGAATAACATAGTTCCCAGCATTCTCAGGCTCAATTTCAAGCAGACGCCGGCCTACAAATTCACCAATGTCAATGTTTGAGTGAACCCTACAAGCACCTAGAAGTGAACCCCATAAAGCTGCAGTTGGTTCAAAAGACATCTTTCTTATAAATTCAAAAGCTTCTTCTACTCGACCAGCACGCCCAAGCAAATCTACAACACACCCATAGTGTTCAATGTCAGGCTCGACCCCGTCTTTCCCGTTCACCATCTCATCAAAGATTTGCAATCCCACATCTTCCATCCCTCCATGGCTGCAACCAGACAAAACACCCAACAAAGTGACACTGTCAGGTTTGACTATATTTTCATTTCTCATCAATCTGTAAAGCTCCACAACCTCTCTTCCCATCCCATGTTTACTATACCCCACAAGCATTGCATTCCATGAGATAACAGTTCTCTCAGGCATGTTATCGAATATCCGTCTTGAGTAAATAAGGTTCCCACACTTCGAGTACATATCAATCAAAGAATTCTGAAGTACCACATAGAATGGCAGTTGACATCGCAGGACATGGTTGTGAACTTGCTTACCAAGATCTAATGCTGCAAGCCCAGATAATGCAGTTAGAACACTGGCATAAGTAACATAATTTGCACTCATTCCTTGTAAATTCAATCTTCGGAATAACTCTAATGCATCCGCATCTAATCCTAATTGAGCGTACCCTGAAATGATGGCAGTGCATGAAACAACATCCCTTTCAGGCAGGCAATTAAAAATCTCTCGAGCTTCATGAATTCTACCAGCTTTGGCATACATGTCAAGAAGTGAGCTCCCCACATATATATGGGTATCGAGAGTTCTCTTGATTACAAAGGAGTGGATTTGCCTTCCCAGCTCAAAACCAAAAGTACCCGTACAAGAGGTAAGTACAGTGGCAAAAGTGAATTCATTTGGCTCTGTATCTGCAGCAATGTATTGTTATCATGAGTAACAAGAAATTAACTAGGTAAGTTGCCAATCCATTTTAATGCTCAGTAGTTTAAAAAAGCTAAACCGCACCACATAACAGAAATTAAAAATTAGCTTGGGTCCAAACCACAACCTATGTTCAAGTCATATTGGGATAATTTCTAAAATTGTCCATAATAAGAAGGTGATTTAGAAACCAACAACAAATAAGACATTTGAAATTTTTTCTTAACTTTTGGAACAACCCTGTTTCTTAAAACATTTGAAGCATATCTCCATGGACAATACTATCAGTTCCTAATAGATCATATCATTCTCCAAAGGTTGATATTTCATGCTACAAAGGTTTTAGGGACTACTGCAAATATCTCCTATAACCCAAATTTTTAACCAACCAGAGAAAGGGTCCAACGACTGTAGAATAAAATGAATTTCCAAACACCATTGATGTGATCTTATATTACACATTGCCAGCTTTATAGCTCAAGTTGTTCCATGAGTTCCATTTTGCAAACCAAGTCTAAATCATTAAATACCCAGTTTCCTAAAATCTAGAAGAATTAGCAAAGTAGCAAACTTAGTGCAACCTAAAAAGAAACAAAAACGAAAAATGCAAGTTATTCTGACTCACATGTAGCAAAAATTCTATACAAACAAGTTTTCAGCAAATACCTGATCTTAACATCTGAACAAAAAGATTCAACGCTTCAGAGGCAAGCCCTCTTTGAGAATAAGCTGAAATCATAGCAGTCCAAGAAACCACATTCCTCTCGGGCATTTCATCGAGCACATGCCTCGCCTCCCTCAAGCAATCACATTTACTATAAAAAATGATGAGCCTAGTTCTAAGGTAAACAGGCGGCAAATATCGAGTTTTGATCATATGGGCATGAACCCTTTGGCCTTCTCTGAATTTCCTTTTGTTTATACAAGCGTTTAATAACATATCGTATCTTTCAAACCTCATTTCAAGGCCTTGAACCGCCATTTCTAGCAAAGCTTCTTTCAGTTGACCGTTGGAGCATAAAGTAGTTAAAAGAATGTGTGGGTCTGGCGGGAAGGTTGTGAGAGTTAGTTGGCGGACGATAAAGGAGTTGAATAGAACTGAAAATGATGCTTTTTTGGGGTAGGAGTGGAAAAGGCAGTTGATTTTTTTAAGTAACTTCATCTTCCAAAACAATGGTATGTTAGTAAGCTCTTTACTGACGTTTATATAACCTGTCTGTTTTTTCTTTGGCCGAGAGTTAAACACTAACTATTACCCCTGCAGATTAAGGTAAATTGATTTCACAGCATAATATGGTATACAAGTTTATGTACTTCTAAGAACTAAAACACCAATTTCCCAGGCAGGCAAGTAGCCTCGGGGATAACTATTTTGTGTATGTTTCAGTGGAATTGGTTGAATCTTTCTTTGACATAAAGCAGCCCAACTGGAAGTGTGAATCAATAATTTCTTTTAAATTGTAAAAATTAAAAGAGTTTACAAACAAAACTAATCCTTAGATGATAGTTTCCACACATGTTTCGTGTAAAGATCATGAATTCCTATCTTATTTCCAGCAAAGAACGACTTGGCAAAAGGATTTCTCCTCCAACCTTCCTGTCACTGACTGTAGAAACCTGAATGGAAATTAAGCAAAGAAATATTATTCACCGTTGACGGGGTGAAGTCCAGAGGATTATCCCATTGCACTGTTCGTCCATCGAACCATCTCATATTTACATTCTCAACATCCAAACCATCAATATGTTCCAGGATAATACCAGCTGTGCTGTGATTCACAAGTCCCTGACATCCAGGCCTATAGTCAACCAACCCGCCAACATAATTTGTCCATCTTTTGTAGGTTAGATTCATGTTAATGAATCTCAAATTCCTTAGCAGTCCACCTTTGGAGCCTGATAAGAAGATACCATTTTCAGAATGTGCAGTGATGTTTATGAAGTTTAAATTAGAGATTGAACCCTCTGCTGAATTTGAGTCTCGCGGGCAGGTTGTCACATAAATTGGTTCGGCTCGCCCCCACCATGACGGATCATAGTATCTTGTGCTGATGTTTATATTCGAGAAAGTAATGTCGCTTACATTTCCTGCAGAAGATAAAACCCAAGTCATTGAGGAAACCATAAGCCAAAAATGTTCACTAACTAAGCCTAGTGTCAAACCAGATAACGTTACCTCCATCACGTATCTGAAATCCAAGCCCTCTGTGTGAATCTACAATAGTAATGTTGTCAAAGACCAAATTCTTGAACTCAAACCAGCTAGCACTTCCAAGTTTGATTGCTGAAGATTTTGTTCGAATCCAGCAGTTTGTGGCTGTTAAGTTATAAAGAGGGGAAGTGTATGTCTTCGGGCATATAGCATCATCTCCTGTATCGATGTGGCACCGTGTAATCAGTGTATTGTTGGAATCCTCTATGTCTATCCCATCATTGTTAGGCGTATAAAAATCTCCATATATTGAAACATCATGAATTGATGTGTTTTCACATCGAACTATGTGCAAGCTGCAACGTATCCAAATTCTTCATCAGACTACAAGGATAAGTTGAAAGCACAGGAAGAGATAGACTAACACAATTGATCAAGATAGTTACTTTATATAACAAATTCAAATGGATTGATATAAGACTAGCATGATTGAAGGACAGTAAAGAGAGTATATAGCTCTATGTACTCCACTAGCTAATTCACCCAATGACTAGAAAACATTTGCCAGAAATCCACAGAGAATCCGACTGAATTCTGGGCTTAAACCATTTTAACCAATCAATGTGGTTCCCTTTCCGTTCAGAATGAAAATTTTAGTTTAAACCAATCCCTATACTTCAAAGGAAATAAATGTAGTGACTTTTGTTGGTACTTCAAGCAAAAACATATTCAAAGTCAAGATCAACACAAAAATAAATCATAGCATTTAACGTGGCTCGACACTCATTGTCTACATTCCAGACGAGAGAGATAAATTCACTATAAACATAAAGTTTATAAAAAGTACAAAATACCCAAGAAGAAACACTAAGCCTGAGCCCAAAAACAAACCCAATTTTCATATTTCTTAGTGTTTAAACTCATGAAATACCCTTTTATCCCATATAACCCAATGTTTTCTCCACTCTTCTTTGCATCCCTATAACTCTGTCTCTGTGAAACTCTCACAGAAAATCCACCTATCAAATAAAAATTACATCTTTCTCATAATTATAAATGTTTTGACCCACCTCATATTTATAGTCTTGTTACTTGATCACTAAAAACTTTTGATTATTAAGTATATTTATCCCTTGAATAAACTTAATCATGAAATCATTTTCAACCAATAAAAATCCACTAGAATTCAAACTGATTCTCAATTAGAATTTCAATAAAATGTACAACAAATTTTCGACTTAACACAAATTTTACTAAAAACATTGGCCTTGTAAAAACCCTGCTACACATCATTGAATTTATACTAACTCCATCTCACTCATATAAAACGATCAATACCCATGAATAGCCACTAAGCCATCTTCACCCTAGTTGACCTCAGAGATGAACCTCAATCTAACATCTCTCAACAAGAATCGTCTCTTAGTTTGATTTGCATCCAGAGACTATGTTAACTAGAACTATTGAGGTCTTTTCTTTTCTTTTGCTAATCTCCAAGAAAGTAAACCACCAAACTCTTCTTCTCATCGAGATCAGCTTGGCAAATGTGATTTTCTTGGCAAACCAATATTGCACTCCACATATTTTTGAAACATGTAACACCATTCAAAAATTGTGTACCACTCACCATGAGTAAGAGTATAATATCATAAAAAAAGTATCAATACCGCTAGAGTAGTGAGAAATTTCTAAAATATTCATGGTGCTCTATTCCTATTTACGCATGATTTGCACTTGTTGCTTTCAAATTTTCAACAACAAAAATTCTCACACAGATTCAGAAATTCGTTGGAGTTCCACCGAAACAATTGAGAATTATTCCACTTGCCATTGTCATTTTGTTTTGACAAATCTCCTCTCGCATGTCTTGATCTAAACAACACAACCCATAGCAACAAAATCCCCCCAAAACTGAATCATCATCCCTACATCACTACTCGTTTTTCATGATCATATCATAATATTTCTTCAACCGTAGCTTTGACATCACTTGTTGAGATTTTCACGTGAAAACGCATTCAACATCGAGATCAACACACAAGAGACTATTCAATGTGGTTCAACATTCATTGCTTACATCCACGAAACGTAGAGATTACAAAGAATATAAAATACCTAAAATAAAACATTAAACCTGAGCTCTGAAACAAATCCAGTTTCCATGCTCCCTAATATTTAAACTCATGAAATATCCTTTATCCCATGTAACTCGGAATTTTTTTCCACTCATTCTCGTATTCTTACAATTTTTTGAAACCGTAAAAAAACTCATCTCTCATATAGAGATCTCTCTCATAATTCTAAAAGTTGAAACCCACTTTATATTCATAAAATCTTATTAATTTCGTAAACTTAATTACTAAATAATTTTCAATCAATAGAATTCTGTTGGAATTCAAACCAATTTTCTATTAAAATCTGAGTCAAATATCTAACAACCTTATTTCTTGATTATTTCATCCAAAACCCTTTTTAATAGCAATTGTCTGGTTTTACTAATTGCTGTCCTTTTTAAATGGCTGAATATTAAATAACAACACTCTATCAAGAAATTAATGGAAATAATTCTAAACGTAAAACCTGCACTAGTTGTCAAATCTAACATTACCTGCAACAATTAGTTCCTTACACTTCCAATTCAAAATCTACTTTTATGTTCATTTTGATCAATGAATATTCAATAAATCTTTTCTATTATCAAAACAAATCGAATTAACTCTAGAAACACATGGTATCCGATTAACTAATCAAACAATTAACTAACAAATGGGTGCCAGCAACAAATCTTAGTCCCATGCCAGCGGGTAACCACCCTTTAAATCATTGTTCGTAACTTGGAACTAGATATACTAATTCTGACAATATGTCTATTCAGAAAAAGTGTGGGATAATAAATATCAGACAAATTATCGACAAAAATACTAGTAGTACACTAACAAAAAGGGTGTAATGTAACAGAAAATGGGCCACCCATAAGAAAGGAGAAACAGAAACGTTTAGCCGTTATGCCAAGAAAGTGCAAAGTCAAGTTGCCATCCAGACAAGCAAAAGACGGAAAAAAGGCAGCAGTCGCCATCTGTTAAACAGTGGTTCTTTCATGAGGATAAGCTAACGTGCAATGACCAAACTACATCTCTATTAAAAAAACACACATGGAGCAACTATATAAAAGCCTCACATGGAGTGTGTCGGTCATGGATAGCCAGTATCCATCAAATGACGAACCAAATTATGTAAAGGAAAAATGGAAAAAGGATAAGCTTCAGAGCCAATATGCTTCTGACACATATATAAACGCATCACAAGAATGGATATTTAATTGGGTTTGAAAGATACCGCAGCTGATTATAATAGTATTTTGTAATCCCCGTATTTTTAATTTTTTATATCAATTTTAAAGAATTTCATTTTATATACTATTATTAAGATTTTGACCGAAAAATAATTAATAATATACAGCATGTTTGGTTGGAAAATAGAATAACCATTTCCTTATTCTTAATCTTTCTTTAACATCGGGTTGGAACTTGGAAGGAATGACTTCTAAAAGGCAATAAAAAAAATTAGTCGACAGAAATGCTCTTTCTTAATTTTAAGAATTACCCTATTATATAAAATGTCACTTATTTATTTTTTATAATTTCTTTCTCTTTCTCTCTACTCAACTATCTCTATGCTTCTCTAACTAAGTTACAATAAATTTAAAATTAAAAGAAAAAAGAAAAACATTAATATGATTTTAAAATAAAAATATTTTAATTTTAATTATAAATTATAAAAACTACATAATAGCTATTTATCTTTTATTTTATTCTAACGACTATTCCACTCTCACTCTATTCCTTCTTGCAAACCAAACACACTTTTAAAGTTTTGCATTTTACTTTAGTAAACTAAGATGGATTAATTATGTATCAACATAAGAATATTATATTTTATTTTAATTAAATAATAATTTATATATTTTTTAAATTCTAAAAAATTATTGTTAATTTTTATTAAAATTAAAACCATTTAATACTAAAGTGTGCCATGTGATTGAAAAAAATTAAGTTGACATGTCATGTCATCAACACAAAACTACTCAAGTAAATGTAACTGCAAAATTATAGCATTGTTATTAGTTATCCTTCAAATCATCTTTTAATAAAAATGCATGAATTATTCATAAAATTTATGCATGGTTAGCCGAATTAAACGATCTAATTCGATTAGTCAGCTAATTTGATTAAAACAAAATTTAGATCAATTCAATTAAATTTTACAACAAATTCGATTAAGAGAATTTTTTAATCAATTAATCAAATACAGACCCTTAATTTATTTAGTAGCAAGCAATTTTGAAAAAGCTTAATGTAGTTTCGATTGACACCAATTAGGCATGTTCATTTTGCTAGTTGGAACTTTAGTCATGACAAACAATTATCTACAAGACAAAAGAAAAATGATTTTCTTTTTTTTTTTACAGAGGATTTCGAATTTTAATTTGTACTAACGTATTAATGAAAGCTCATACTCTTCGTATATTTTAGTTTTTTTTTATATTTTTCATATATTTTCACCCTAAATAAAAATATAAGTGGACAGAAATGCAATTAGAAAGGAATAAGCAAATGAAAACAGACTAACCACCAATAAGCCGGCTGAGTGAGGGTAACATTCCAAACTCTAACATTGGTAGAGTCAAGGAAGCCAACCAACCTGGGCCGACACTCATCGCCCGAGCAAGCCCCTGTCTGGTTCCAACTCACCATCACGTTTTTCCTCTTATCGAACCTCACCACGAACTCCGATCCCTGCCCGTCAACGACGCCTCCACCCGTTATCCCAGTATTGCTAGCATTCTCAGCCAATATCACATACCATCTATCCCACTCTTTTGGGTAGTCTTCCAATTTGGTCCCACCCAAGATAGCAGAGCCTTTGGGAATGTTCAAAACGACGTTGGATTTGAGGAAGACGGTGGCTGTTAGATAGGTGCCTGGTGGGAAGGTTACGTAGCATGGTTTGGTGGTGGAGTTGTGGCAGGTGTCGATGGCTGATTGGAT